AAATAAGAGTAAAGAAAAATGGATGAAAAAAAAACAACTTACCATGAGCAGGAATCGAACCTACGACCTTCAAATAACGCGTTCGACGCTCTGAACACTGAGCTATCAAGGCGGCCTTCCCCACACCCACTTTTGGTTTATCTGTGAATTTAAACGTGGGAGTGTCAATCAGTGCCATCTGTAGCCAAGTGGCGAGTGTGGAACACCCTTTAATGAGCCTGTGTGGCGTCACGTAGCACGTGAACTTATTACTAGCGGGCAGCTGACCAATAGTTCCTCGTTTAAACCTAACGGCACCAAGTCTGCCAGTACGAGACCATCGTTAATGAATAAGGGAAAGAAGTGTCAACCTGAGGGCTCGTTTTTCCGGCTTTCGACACAATATAGTGAGATCTAACAGACAATATTGCCAATGAATGCATAGGGGAAGTTATAAAAACGAATGTAATGTAAATAGGAAGAACAAAAAAAGGTGCAAAAATAACCTACCGTGAGCAGAAAACAACCTACGACCTTCGAATAACGCGTTCGATGCTATGACCACAGTGTTATCACGGCGGGCTTTCCTACATCTACTTTTTGGGTTTATATGGCTAAAAAGGCAGATGACACTTCCATCATAGATTTTCTCGAGCTCCACTTTAATGGCTTCGAGCGAGCATCACATGTTGAATCTGTGGAGCAATAGTGGCAGAGATTTAAGGCCCATGTCGTAACTTGCGTTGATCGCTTTGTCCCTACTCGTATTAAGAAAACACGTAAATGAAATCTCTGGATACCACGCAGCATTATACATAGGAAACGACGAATCAAGAGATTAGGGAAAATTAAAAAGGAGCGACGGAACTTAAAAAATGAAAGTTGAAACAAGCTCCTGTGAATTCCAAAAATAAGTTCGTTGGCCAAACGGTTATGAACTTCCTTAAAAGTTCGCCATCCAAATTCTGGCGTCACATCAGTGACAGAAAAAAAATGAGCAGATCGAATATGAGGGTTGTATCCTGAAAAATTTGAAGACTTAGCAGATACTTTTATTCGCTTCTTTGAGTATGTTTTCACAAAAGACCAGGGCGATAAGATAGGGGCCTCCATCAGTAACAGTGCAACAACTGCAATGGAACCTGTTATTATCAACCGCGAAGGTGTTTATGAGTTACTGCTTGAGCTAGATGCGAAGAAAGGAAAAGGTCCGGATAACCTACCAACAGAGGTTCTCAAGAGATACGCAGAATGGGTCTCGTTTTATTCAGAAATAATATTTGTGAAATTGGTTGAGACGCGATCACTTCCACAAGACTGGCGCAATGTGGTAGTAGTTCTGATTTTTAAAAACGGTAACCGCTCGTTAGTAAACAGTTACCGGCCCGTATCTTTGACGTCGGTTTGCTGCAAAGTTCTGGAACATGTATTAGCAGAACATATTTTTAGTTTTCTTGATTCTAACCAGTTACTTTGCGCAAGCCAACAGGGGTTTCGGCATGGTCTTTCTACTGTAACACAATTAGCTGAAACGCTCTACGATTTCAATAAAAACAGTGATGACCTTGTGCAGACTGATGTAATTTGTGTCGATTTCGGGGAAGCTTCTGATAAGGTCTCTGATCGTAAATTACTTTTCAAGCTTGAAAGATTAGGAATAAGCGAAGAAGTAATAAAATGAATAAAGGCATATTTTTCCGCACGTCAACAGGCTGTAAAAATAAATATTACGCTTCAAGACCACTGCCCGTGTACTCGGGCGCTCCCCAAAGATCTGTTTTGGGACCAACTCTTTTTATAATATTTTTTAATGATCTATGTTTAATAGTTGAGGCTCCCAATAAAATGAAACTTTTTGCAGATGCCTGACTGATTTATTCCCTAGTTACTTGCGAAGGTGACCAAATTATTCTGAACAGGTGCTTACAGGTATTACATCAGTGCTGTGTAATATGAGACATGAAAATAAACAATAGCAAGACGACATATACGCATATTCACACTAATGGGCGGGAATTGTCACTCATGTATCACATCGGAAGTCATCCTTTAATTATTGCCGATTATTTCAATTACCTAGGAGTTAGTATCATGCACGCATTGAAATGGCAGTCGCATATCGATAACATCTGTTCTAAGGCAAACAAAAAACGGTATTTCCTAAAAAAATGAAACATGCCACACCAGATTCAAAACTAACTGCTTACAAAACATTCCTATGTCCTGTTCTAAAGTACGCTATGAATGATTGATATGTGGGGTTTAACGTCCCAAAACCAGCATATGATTATGAGAGACGCCGTAGTGGAGGGCTCCGGAAATTTCGACCACCTGCGGTTCTTTAACGTGCACCCACATCTGAGCACACGGGCCTACACCATTCCCGCCTCAATTTAGAGTACGCTAGTATTGTATGGTCGCCTCAACAGAAGGTGTTGTGGACAAAAATTGAAAGAATACAAAAATTAGCAGTCCGTTTCATATGCGGTAGATACCGATGCACACACTCAGTCACTGCTCTGTTAAAGTCCTGTGAGCTTGAGTGTTTTGAATATCGCAGGCGAAAACATCGCCTGAAATTTCTTCTTAATATTATAAGCGGGCAAACGAAGCTAAATAAGGATTTATATATTCAGCCCCCTGGAACGCGATGTGATCGTCTTAATAATAGTACAGCAATTCAACCTTATTTCGCACGCACGAATGTTTTCCGCCACTCCTTTTACCCAGACACAATAGATATCTGGAATAGTTTACCCATTGCGCTTGTGCAACAAACAACATTAGTGGAGTTTGAAAATGCATTGGACGGTTTTCTTTGTAGTGAAGTGTGCTAAATTCTGTTGTCAGCATTTATTTTAGTAAGACGGTAAGTTGGGCCAGTTGGTTAGGATCCATCATGAACTTACTAACAGCGCTGAGGCATATCATATAAAGATTAGGGGTAGCAAGTGCGTTGATGAACCATCCGTCACACTGCATGAAAAAGAATTGAGTTATTTAGGCCAAGCTTGTTTATTGCCATGAGTGTGATAAAGCTACCTCGGTGCACCTCATATTCTGCGCATGTTGTGATGTAGGCTGCCAGTACCTACATATTTACTTTTCACCTCTTTTTTTACAATAAACCACAGTTGTGAGTGAGCGCCGTCTTTTCTTTCTCTTTTACTCCTTCCCTGTCCTGTTTTTTTCTGGTGTTGCGCTGTAAGCAAGTTCACGATGAAGCATTTACTCGTTAATTTTTGTGTGTGTAGTCACTAATGTTTGTTTCTTATTTTTATTGTTGGTTATTCATCTCGTATTTATATGTGCTTTTTAATTTTGCTTTTTTGTGTGAACGTTATGTACTTTTTAACACCCTTCCTGTAATGACCCCAAGCACGCGGTCGACAATATCAAATAAATAAAAAATAAATAAATAAAGTAAAATATGCGAATTTAAACGTTGGAGTGTCAGTCAGTGCCATCTATAAGCCAAGCGACGAGTGTGAACCACACTTTTATGCGCATGTTTGGCGTCACTGTGAACTTATTACGAGCGGGCAGCCGACCAATAGTCCTTCGTATACAACCTAACGGCACCAAGTCTGCCAGTACGAGACCATCGTTAATGAATAAGGGAAAAAAGTGTGCACCTAAGGGCTCGTTTTTACGTGTTTTGACGCAATATATTGAGAGCTAACAGACAATAATGCCAATGAATGTATAAGATAAGTTATAAAAAGAATATAATGTACATTAGAAAAAAGAAAAATGGGTGAAAAATAACCTACCGTGAGCAGGAATCGAACCTACGACCTTCCAATAACGCGTTCGAGGCTCTGAGCAGTGATCGATCATGGTGGCCTTCCACACATTCACTTTTTTTGGGTTTATAAGTGAATTTCCACGTGGGAGTGTCAGTCAGCGCCATCTGTAGCCAAGCGGCGAGTGTGGAATACCCTTCTATGAGCCTGTGTGGCGTCCCATAGCACGTGAACTTATTACGAGCGGGAAGCTGACCAATAGTTCCTTGTATACAACCTGAAGACACCAAGTCTGCCAGTACGAGACCATCGTTATTGAATAAGGGAAAGAAGTGCTTAACTAAGGGCTCGTTTTTCTGTGTTCTGATCCAATAATAATGAGATATAACAAACAATATTGACAATAATATATAGGGAAGCTTATTGAAACGAATGTAATGTAAATAAGAAGAAAGAAAAATGGGTCAAAAAACAACCTACCGTGAGCAGGAATCGAACCTACGACCTTCAAATAACGCGTTTGATGCTCTGACCACTGAGCTATCACGGCGGGCTTCCCGACGTCCACTTTTTTGGGTTCATATGTGAATTTAAAGGTGGGAGTGTTGGTCAGTGCAATCTGTAACCAAGCGGCGAGTGTGGAACATCCTTCTATGAGCGTGAGTGCCTGCTCACGGTACCTGCTCACGGTAGGTTATTTTTTTCAGCCATTTTTCTTTCTTCCTATTTGCAATACATTCGTTCTAATAACTTCTTCTATACATTCATTGGCAATATTGTCTGTTAAATCTCATTATTATTGTGCCAGAACACGAAAAACGAGCCCTTAGGTATACAATTCTTTGTTATATATATATATATATATATATATATATATATATGATGACTTGGCAGCTGGGGCAGCGTACCGAGCGTATCCGTAACGCTTCCACTTGTTTCTTCAGGGCCTTCCGGAGCAAGCGCGACAGTCTGCCTGAAAGTTCGTGGCCAAGCTACGTAACCGCTGCATCTTTCCTGCGTTGCTGCACCGCTCTGGAAAAAGGCCAGCCTGTACAGTACCACGTGGCGTTTACGTCACACCCTGGTATCGGATAAAAGGACGCCGGGCCACTGCGACGGACACTTGGCAGCTGGGGCAGCGTACCGAGCGTATCCGTAACGCTTCCACTTGTTTCTTCAGGGCCTTCCGGAGCAAGCGCGACAGTCTGCCTGAAAGTTCGTGGCCAAGCTACGTAACCGCTGCATCTTTCCTGCGTTGCTGCAACCGCTCTGGAAAAAGGCCAGCCTGTACAGTACCACGTGGCGTTTACGTCACACCCTGGTATCGGATAAAAGGACGCCGGGCCACTGCGACGGACACTTGGCAGCTGGGGCAGCGTACCGAGCGTATCCGTAACGCTTCCACTTGTTTCTTCAGGTTGGAACTTTCTCGATTTTTAGTGCACTCCTTCAATTTGTATTTTGCTGTCCCTTGCTGCCACTACAACTGTTGTTGCGTGTTATTTACCAACATTGACGATGTCAGGAGAACTTGATGCCCTGAAGCGTGATTTTCGTAAAGAAATGAGGGAGATGAAAACTAGTATGGATTTCATCAACAAAGAGTTTGAGTCTCTGAAAAATGAATGCACTGAACTAAGAAAGGAAAATGCCACTCTCAGAGCAACGCAGGAAGCGCTCCTGCAAGAAGTTGAAGCATTGAAGAAGAAAGCCCATGAAAATGCATTGAGTATTACAGCGCAGGAACAATACTCTAGAAATAAGAATATCGAAGTCAAAGGGGTTCCGCAGGTAGCAAACGAGAGCCTTGAAGGCATACTCAGCAAAGTGGGCGATCTGATAGGTGAACCAATAAGGAAAGATGACATTGAAGTTTGCCACCGGTTGCCTACGCGGAGTGCCGATTCTGACCCTAACATTTTAGTCGTTTTCAACAACCGTGCTAAGCGAGATGCTATCGTCGAAAGGGCCAGAAAAAGTAGGTTCACTGCAGCAGACATCGGCTACACGAAAAAGCAGCCGGTCTATATTAATGAGCACCTCTGCCCGCGGCTGAAGAAGCTGCTTGGGATGACCATAGCAAAAAAACGGGAACTGAACTGGCGCTTTGCGTGGGCCAAAGGTGGCAAAGTTTTCGCGCGGCAAACGGAAACATCACGCATTGTGCGGATTGCATGTGAAATTGACCTAGAAAAAATGGTCGACCAAACGCCTACTAGCTAATTGCACACTTGTGAGTGCCACTTTCTGCATTTTACTTCGTTGCTGTGATAAATTATGCTTTATAAACTGGATATTTCGAACCATGGCGACTATCTGAAATTTTTACACTTAAATGCGCAGTCCGCGAGGAATAAATACGACGAGTTGACTTTGTTTTTTGATGCATTTTCTTTTAACTTCGATGTAATAATGTTATCAGAAACTTGGTACAATATGCTGACGACGTACTTAGCGTTCCCGGATATCAAACTTTCTTCTTAAACAGACCTACACGTCGTGGTGGAGGCGTGCTGCAGCTGGTATCGAATGAGCTGTCATGCACGATGCTACCAGAATTCTGCCTTATAGCGCCAGACTATGAAGTTTTAAGCGTGCAATGTAAAAAAATATGTTTTCGTTGTTTTATACCGCCCGCCAAACGGAAATATCGACGCATGCCTTCTTTTTCTCGAAAGGCTGCTAAGTTTCATCTGCCTAAACGACCTGTACCTCGCGATAGGTGGTGACTTCAACGTTAACCTTTTGCAAAATACCAAATGCGCGCGTGATCTACAACTTATTTTTCAGTCATTTCATTGTAGAAATGTGATAACAACACCTACGCGCCTTAGCAGCACTTCCGATAGCCTCCTTGACCTTTTTATAACAAACTGCACTATCGAAGACACGAAAGCAGGTACTATCGTAGCTGACATGGGTGATCATTTGCCAATCTATATGTTCTGTCCATTCAGTGCATCTTCTGTGGGTGCTCGTCACTCCAAGACTTTTCTTGTCCAGGAAATAAACTATAAAACGCTAAGCATGTTCCGTAACGAAATTGGAAACGTAGATTGGACAACCGTGTTTCACTGTAATGACCCTGATAGAGCATATAGCACGTTCCTACACATTTTGAAAGGTATCTATGAGAAGTGTTTTAAGTTTAGAACCGTACAAAAATGTGCGAAAGGTCGCAAACCTTGGCTTAATAAGGAGTGCGCAGTCATGATACGCAAAAAGAACTTACTATATAATAATTTTGTCAAAACAAGGGACCCATGTGAGTTTGCGGCATTCAAGAAATATCGCAACCAGGTAACAAAGTTCTTGAGACATACTAAAAAAGTTTATTTTGAAAACCTTTTCAGTCAAATAAGTAGTCGGAGCGACTTGCTTTGGCGCGAAATTAACCAGTTGTTAAACCGCAACAACCGCCAGATTGCTGAGCTTGAGCTAATACATAATCACAGGGTCATAAAAGGCGTAGAACTTGCAGATCAGTTTAACGATTATTTTACTAGTCTGGAAAAAAGCGATTTTAATATTGCCGCGACTGAATTTTTAGGTCCGCGCAATGCATACACAGCTTTTTTTGCGCCCACAACTTCCGATGAAGTCTTCCAAACTTTTATGTCCTTAAAAAATAGCAAAGCACGTGACATAAACGGGTTACAGATAAGACCGATAAAGTTTGTGGCTGACATCTTATCACCTGCACTTACTCACATTTTTAATCTTTCAATATGTGCCGGAATCTTTCCTCAGGAAATGCAATGCGCGAAAGTTAGCGTCATTTTCAAATCTGGTGACAGAAATGTATTCTCGAATTATCGGCCAGTGTCTGTTCTCCCTGTTATATCAAAAGGATTGGAAAAAATTATTTGCAAAAGAATAACGGCTTTCTGCGATAAACACTCGATCATAACAGCGCAACAGTACGGTTTCCGTGAAGGAATGTCAACAGAACTTGCCCTACTAACACAAAAAGAGTTAATCTTGAACAGTTTTGAAAATAAACAATTTATGTTGGGTATCTTTGTTGACTATTCTAAGGCGTTTGACCGCCTGAATCACCGCACTTTATTTACAAAACTAGAACATTACGGATTTCGTGGCACTCCTCTTGAGTTAATAATTTCGTATCTAAAGCACAGAAGGCAATGCGTTGCCATCATGTCAGAACAATCTACACTACAAAAAATAACTCAAGGAGTACCGCAAGGTAGCATACTGGGGCCCATACTATTCAACATTTATATCAATGATATAACAAATATTTCTAATGACGCTGACTTCATAGTTTATGCAGATGACACCAGCATTTTCTTGAGATCAGTGACATAAGTACTCTCTCGGTCATCTCTAACAGTGCACTGAAATGCTTAGCCGAATGGAGCTTCGTTAATTCATTAAAACTGAATACAGCAAAAACTAAGGCGGTCCTTTTCACCCCGCCGCAACGACATGATCTTAAAGATTTCAGATTGGAGCTTGGATCTGCTCGCATAGAACTTGCATCTAACGTCAAAACCTTGGGAGTTGTTTTTAACAATCATCTCATTTGGAATGATCATGTTGATCACATTGCCACCCGTTTAGCGAAAGCCTGTGGGGTGCTCTGTAGACTGCGCTATACTTTACCGAGGAGCGTTAAACGCATGATTTATAACGCCCTATTTTCCCCTCACTTAACGTATTGTCAGTTAGTATGGGGTGACACTACAAAAGTCAATTTACATAGGTTGAGTGTGCTTCAGAAAAGAGCAGTTCGTCACATAGCAAATGTTCAGTATGATGCCAATACTGGAGAACTATTTTCCACCCTTAAGATCTGCCCCCTCGAAAATTTCTATAACGTTAACCTCGCTTTAAAATGCCAAAAATACTTCCGATGCAACAACCATAGTTTTTTGTTATTATGCAAGCTGACTATACCTAAAGCTATCTCATATAACATAAGGGAGAGAGACAGATGGCTCATACCTTTTTCGCGAACGAAATATGGGATGAGCAGTCTGTCATACCTTGTGCCACGCTTGCTCAACGAATTTGAAAGAAATGGCATTTGCATACAAAGATCTTCAAGAAGTGCAATAAAACGGTATGTGGGTGAGCACTTATCTTCAAAGTAGTAGTGCGCGTTACGTTAAGTTATTTTTTATCAAAAAATTTGCCTGTTATACAAGCTTCTCAGTTTGTTAAGATGTTTACATACATGATGCATAATGGTCTTTATTGCGCATACAAATTTTGTACATCTCATTTGTGCGAAATAACCTGTGCATTCCATTATTCTACATTATTTCCGCTTGCGTTATGCACTGTTTCATGATTTTTCTGCTAGATGTGATAACCGAAAATGTTTAATAGAAATGTGAAATTAGAGATGTTTAAATGCATGGTAGGTTGTTTTTGGCTGTCGAGAATTGGGGCAAGGACCTTTGTCAAGCTGCTGTATAGCAGCTTTTTGTTCTTGTCCTCGTGTTCATTATCTTGCTGTAATGAATGCCAAATAAAATTGATTGATTGATTGAAAAAAAAAAAAAAATATATATATATATATATATATATCTGGGGCAGCGTACCGAGCGTATCCGTAACGCTTCCACTTGTTTCTTCAGGGCCTTCCGGAGCAAGCGCGACAGTCTGCCTGAAAGTTCGTGGCCAAGCTACGTAACCGCTGCATCTTTCCTGCGTTGCTGCACCGCTCTGGAAAAAGGCCAGCCTGTACAGTACCACGTGGCGTTTACGTCACACCCTGGTATCGGATAAAAGGACGCCGGGCCACTGCGACGGACACTTGGCAGCTGGGGCAGCGTACCGAGCGTATCCGTAACGCTTCCACTTGTTTCTTCAGGGCCTTCCGGAGCAAGCGCGACAGTCTGCCTGAAAGTTCGTGGCCAAGCTACGTAACCGCTGCATCTTTCCTGCGTTGCTGCACCGCTCTGGAAAAAGGCCAGCCTGTACAGTACCACGTGGCGTTTACGTCACACCCTGGTATCGGATAAAAGGACGCCGGGCCACTGCGACGGACACTTGGCAGCTGGGGCAGCGTACCGAGCGTATCCGTAACGCTTCCACTTGTTTCTTCAGGGCCTTCCGGAGCAAGCGCGACAGTCTGCCTGAAAGTTCGTGGCCAAGCTACGTAACCGCTGCATCTTTCCTGCGTTGCTGCACCGCTCTGGAAAAAGGCCAGCCTGTACAGTACCACGTGGCGTTTACGTCACACCCTGGTATCGGATAAAAGGACGCCGGGCCACTGCGACGGACACTTGGCAGCTGGGGCAGCGTACCGAGCGTATCCGTAACGCTTCCACTTGTTTCTTCAGGTTGGAACTTTCTCGATTTTTAGTGCACTCCTTCAATTTGTATTTTGCTGTCCCTTGCTGCCACTACAACTGTTGTTGCGTGTTATTTACCAACATTGACGATGTCAGGAGAACTTGATGCCCTGAAGCGTGATTTTCGTAAAGAAATGAGGGAGATGAAAACTAGTATGGATTTCATCAACAAAGAGTTTGAGTCTCTGAAAAATGAATGCACTGAACTAAGAAAGGAAAATGCCACTCTCAGAGCAACGCAGGAAGCGCTCCTGCAAGAAGTTGAAGCATTGAAGAAGAAAGCCCATGAAAATGCATTGAGTATTACAGCGCAGGAACAATACTCTAGAAATAAGAATATCGAAGTCAAAGGGGTTCCGCAGGTAGCAAACGAGAGCCTTGAAGGCATACTCAGCAAAGTGGGCGATCTGATAGGTGAACCAATAAGGAAAGATGACATTGAAGTTTGCCACCGGTTGCCTACGCGGAGTGCCGATTCTGACCCTAACATTTTAGTCGTTTTCAACAACCGTGCTAAGCGAGATGCTATCGTCGAAAGGGCCAGAAAAAGTAGGTTCACTGCAGCAGACATCGGCTACACGAAAAAGCAGCCGGTCTATATTAATGAGCACCTCTGCCCGCGGCTGAAGAAGCTGCTTGGGATGACCATAGCAAAAAAACGGGAACTGAACTGGCGCTTTGCGTGGGCCAAAGGTGGCAAAGTTTTCGCGCGGCAAACGGAAACATCACGCATTGTGCGGATTGCATGTGAAATTGACCTAGAAAAAATGGTCGACCAAACGCCTACTAGCTAATTGCACACTTGTGAGTGCCACTTTCTGCATTTTACTTCGTTGTTGTGATAAATTATGCTTTATAAACTGGATATTTCGAACCATGGCGACTATCTGAAATTTTTACACTTAAATGCGCAGTCCGCGAGGAATAAATACGACGAGTTGACTTTGTTTTTTGATGCATTTTCTTTTAACTTCGATGTAATAATGTTATCAGAAACTTGGTACAAATATGCTGACGACGTACTTAGCGTTCCCGGATATCAAACTTTCTTCTTAAACAGACCTACACGTCGTGGTGGAGGCGTGCTGCAGCTGGTATCGAATGAGCTGTCATGCACGATGCTACCAGAATTCTGCCTTATAGCGCCAGACTATGAAGTTTTAAGCGTGCAATGTAAAAAATATGTTTTCGTTGTTTTATACCGCCCGCCAAACGGAAATATCGACGCATGCCTTCTTTTTCTCGAAAGGCTGCTAAGTTTCATCTGCCTAAACGACCTGTACCTCGCGATAGGTGGTGACTTCAACGTTAACCTTTTGCAAAATACCAAATGCGCGCGTGATCTACAACTTATTTTTCAGTCATTTCATTGTAGAAATGTGATAACAACACCTACGCGCCTTAGCAGCACTTCCGATAGCCTCCTTGACCTTTTTATAACAAACTGCACTATCGAAGACACGAAAGCAGGTACTATCGTAGCTGACATGGGTGATCATTTGCCAATCTATATGTTCTGTCCATTCAGTGCATCTTCTGTGGGTGCTCGTCACTCCAAGACTTTTCTTGTCCAGGAAATAAACTATAAAACGCTAAGCATGTTCCGTAACGAAATTGGAAACGTAGATTGGACAACCGTGTTTCACTGTAATGACCCTGATAGAGCATATAGCACGTTCCTACACATTTTGAAAGGTATCTATGAGAAGTGTTTTAAGTTTAGAACCGTACAAAAATGTGCGAAAGGTCGCAAACCTTGGCTTAATAAGGAGTGCGCAGTCATGATACGCAAAAAGAACTTACTATATAATAATTTTGTCAAAACAAGGGACCCATGTGAGTTTGCGGCATTCAAGAAATATCGCAACCAGGTAACAAAGTTCTTGAGACATACTAAAAAAGTTTATTTTGAAAACCTTTTCAGTCAAATAAGTAGTCGGAGCGACTTGCTTTGGCGCGAAATTAACCAGTTGTTAAACCGCAACAACCGCCAGATTGCTGAGCTTGAGCTAATACATAATCACAGGGTCATAAAAGGCGTAGAACTTGCAGATCAGTTTAACGATTATTTTACTAGTCTGGAAAAAAGCGATTTTAATATTGCCGCGACTGAATTTTTAGGTCCGCGCAATGCATACACAGCTTTTTTTGCGCCCACAACTTCCGATGAAGTCTTCCAAACTTTTATGTCCTTAAAAAATAGCAAAGCACGTGACATAAACGGGTTACAGATAAGACCGATAAAGTTTGTGGCTGACATCTTATCACCTGCACTTACTCACATTTTTAATCTTTCAATATGTGCCGGAATCTTTCCTCAGGAAATGCAATGCGCGAAAGTTAGCGTCATTTTCAAATCTGGTGACAGAAATGTATTCTCGAATTATCGGCCAGTGTCTGTTCTCCCTGTTATATCAAAAGGATTGGAAAAAATTATTTGCAAAAGAATAACGGCTTTCTGCGATAAACACTCGATCATAACAGCGCAACAGTACGGTTTCCGTGAAGGAATGTCAACAGAACTTGCCCTACTAACACAAAAAGAGTTAATCTTGAACAGTTTTGAAAATAAACAATTTATGTTGGGTATCTTTGTTGACTATTCTAAGGCGTTTGACCGCCTGAATCACCGCACTTTATTTACAAAACTAGAACATTACGGATTTCGTGGCACTCCTCTTGAGTTAATAATTTCGTATCTAAAGCACAGAAGGCAATGCGTTGCCATCATGTCAGAACAATCTACACTACAAAAAATAACTCAAGGAGTACCGCAAGGTAGCATACTGGGGCCCATACTATTCAACATTTATATCAATGATATAACAAATATTTCTAATGACGCTGACTTCATAGTTTATGCAGATGACACCAGCATTTTCTTGAGATCAAGTGACATAAGTACTCTCTCGGTCATCTCTAACAGTGCACTGAAATGCTTAGCCGAATGGAGCTTCGTTAATTCATTAAAACTGAATACAGCAAAAACTAAGGCGGTCCTTTTCACCCCGCCGCAACGACATGATCTTAAAGATTTCAGATTGGAGCTTGGATCTGCTCGCATAGAACTTGCATCTAACGTCAAAACCTTGGGAGTTGTTTTTAACAATCATCTCATTTGGAATGATCATGTTGATCACATTGCCACCCGTTTAGCGAAAGCCTGTGGGGTGCTCTGTAGACTGCGCTATACTTTACCGAGGAGCGTTAAACGCATGATTTATAACGCCCTATTTTCCCCTCACTTAACGTATTGTCAGTTAGTATGGGGTGACACTACAAAAGTCAATTTACATAGGTTGAGTGTGCTTCAGAAAAGAGCAGTTCGTCACATAGCAAATGTTCAGTATGATGCCAATACTGGAGAACTATTTTCCACCCTTAAGATCTGCCCCCTCGAAAATTTCTATAACGTTAACCTCGCTTTAAATGCCAAAATACTTCCGATGCAACAACCATAGTTTTTTGTTATTATGCAAGCTGACTATACCTAAAGCTATCTCATATAACATAAGGGAGAGAGACAGATGGCTCATACCTTTTTCGCGAACGAAATATGGGATGAGCAGTCTGTCATACCTTGTGCCACGCTTGCTCAACGAATTTGAAAGAAATGGCATTTGCATACAAAGATCTTCAAGAAGTGCAATAAAACGGTATGTGGGTGAGCACTTATCTTCAAAGTAGTAGTGCGCGTTACGTTAAGTTATTTTTTATCAAAAAATTTGCCTGTTATACAAGCTTCTCAGTTTGTTAAGATGTTTACATACATGATGCATAATGGTCTTTATTGCGCATACAAATTTTGTACATCTCATTTGTGCGAAATAACCTGTGCATTCCATTATTCTACATTATTTCCGCTTGCGTTATGCACTGTTTCATGATTTTTCTGCTAGATGTGATAACCGAAAATGTTTAATAGAAATGTGAAATTAGAGATGTTTAAATGCATGGTAGGTTGTTTTTGGCTGTCGAGAATTGGGGCAAGGACCTTTGTCAAGCTGCTGTATAGCAGCTTTTTGTTCTTGTCCTCGTGTTCATTATCTTGCTGTAATGAATGCCAAATAAAATTGATTGATTGATTGAAAAAAAAAAAAAAATATATATATATATATATATATATATATATATATATATACCAAAAAAAGTGATGCTGGGTCCGGCTAAGAATATCCGCAGTGACGAAGACGCACGTACGAAGTGATTTTATTGACGTTTCGGCCGCGGGTCCGGGCTTCATCAGAATATAGTGTGTGGCATGAGTGCTGTTTATATACATCTGCATATCTATATGATCAAAGTATGAAAACTGACATGAAAGGCGATAATTGGGCATAATAAATGCAAGTCACACGATTTGACAGGTACCTGATACACGTGTAAAAAGGTATCGCTTCCATGCGCGAGCACGTGGCGAGCACGTTGTTTACTATTAAAAGGTAAAACACATAAAAGATAAAGCGTACAACATGAAGGGTCTGACCGGTAATAGCAAGATGAAAAAATACAAAAAAGTACAAGAGTGACAAAAAAAACACAAAGAGCTATATAAAATGCGTTACGAAGCTGCTACGTAATGAACCGCTACAGGCAATGTAGCGTGACTTGCTGAGCAAGGTAGAGAACAGATGAGCAGGGTGATTTGTGTTATACAGATAGGCAACTGAGTTTTCCTACGTTTTCAATTAGACCAGTCGCGATGGTGTTGAACTGATAGATGGGGAAAGATTCGCGGGCTTCTCTCGTCATCATCGTCAAAAACAGACTGTCCTGACACGATCGGTTGCCATCCTTGCCGAAAACCGCAATGCAATGTATGCCCGTACATGCGCACATGCCAACAAGTCACCCGCACTGGTTCAAACTTTTCCTTAAAAATCTAAGGCAATCTTGACTGCGACTCGAAAAACGTGGTATACTTGATAGAATGTATGCTGTGCGAAATAAAATACCTTGGTCAAACAGAAGGACCTTTTAGACTGCGTTCTAACAACCATAAATCTCATCCTAACACCTTGCCCTACTTGCCCATTTCAAGACACGTGCACCTCCCGACCACTCTTTTGAAAATCTACAGGTCACATTACTCGAATCTGGTTTCCGCAAAATTATGAGAGAACACACACACACACACACACACACACACACATATATATATATATATATATATATATATATATATATATATATATATATATATATATATATATGCATTATCCAATCAGGCCCCACCACTAATACAACACGACGCAGGCTATATATATAAACCATTTACTACTGGCTTACTGTGAATAGACGTAACGGAATACTGTCGAACAAAGCATGTACATTTTCTGGACAAGCTATACATATGTTTTCTAAACATTGACGTCTCCAATAGATTGATTCATGGAGAAGTTTATTCAAGCACATATAGTTGAAATA